ACCCCCATAAATGAAGCCTTAAAATCGTTTTTTGACCAGCAGGATCCATCATTATTCATCGACCACTCAAAGTCAAGGTTTGGGTTAAAGAAAAAGTTTATCTTGAGGATTACTGCATGCACCTCCAAAAGGTGATTTTGGTGGAGGCCTTGTATTTTCTCGCTTTAAAAAATTTCTTCCCTTTGCATAAAAAATTCAAACTCACTCAGCTCTTGTTTATAAATATGCTTGAATAATAGGGCATATGCCGGAAATATATAAATTTAAGATGATTTCTAGGGTTCAGACGATGACAAAAACTGTCAGGTTTCAAATCAGGTTTCCTTTGAAGAGAAAAGCAGAATACCTCATTCAATTAGAAAATCTTATAAGGATTATGTTTTTATCTTTCGACTTTATACTAAACTTTATAAGGATTCTATAAAGACGAAGAAAATTGGCAGTCAAATTTTACTTATAAACTTTGATAAAAAAAGAGGGAATAAGATCCGAATTTATAAATATGACGAAGCAACGAAAATAAGAGACTTTTTCTATCAAAAACTATCGTCGAAGAAGCAGATCAATGTATTATTGTCGAAGTACATGCTTGATGAAGATATTAATCCTCTTCCATATGCTTATGTGACGAATAGTGGGCTGATAAGCCAAGTATCATTTTTTTCATCACCTTTTCTTGGTTCGTCATCTTTCCACAGCTTTCCTGAACTTCTTTGCGGATCGAAACCAGCAATAGTGAATGATAAATTATACATATTTGGGGGATGTATCGATAGTAAAAACGTAAATTAATAAAATTCCGAGAAAGTGATTATAATTGTCCTTAAGATTCATCGATTAGACGGATGCTTTTTTAAAGAACTTAATACTCATCTGAAAAATGAGTACTCTTATAAACACATGGCTCTATCTTACGACGGAGGCAGCAAAGGTTTGGATTTTCCGTTAAGATTGAAAATAATCATTCAAATAATTAAGCCATTATTTGTTCTAATGTCAAGAGAAATAATGGGAGAGAATGTGAGTTATACAATGGGAATTATGTAGAAAGAACATTTTCCACGAAAATAAATCACCGCGGTGGCTCTTTTGGTGTTTACAAAAATAACCCGACTATAATTGGTGGATATCTAGATGAAGCAAAGAATGGAACAGTTGAGACATTGACCAAAGAGGGGTGGATTAAGCTGAAATCGCATTCAAGGTAGACGCATTAATAAAAATACAACAGAAATATTCTAAGACGTATCTGTGGGTCTGCTGCTGTTGGACTGCCCTCAGGAAACCTTTTGTAAAGGGGTTGATATTCATTAATCATTTTTTTTCATCAAATACCTAATCATGTGATGCCCCGTCCTATTAATACTGGAAGCGTTTTATTGAAAGACTTATATGACATATAATAAGAAAACACTCAAAAGCTACCAAAAAAACAATCGGTCGGATTCAAACAATTGAAAAATCAGAAATATAAATTGTATTCGGTATAAATTGTTTGGGTCGATATTCTTCTTCTGAAAGGGTTTTTGAGTTCGAAAATTTGATTTTTTTGATAATTTTTTGAAAGTACTAACTTAAGTAAAAATCTTTCTCTAACAGGTCTGATTTCGCCATATAGCTCGTGGTTCTGTTTGAAGAAATCTCTTGCTATCTGATGAAGCTCGACGTAATTATTTTTGACAAATAATTTAAAGTTCGTGTCAGTTTTAGAATAAGGGTGTAAGTTTTATTATAAAAAAATATGGGATGGGTTTTCTATCCAAACTTGGGAGGTAGGTCTCCTTGAATATTGCTAGCGTTTTTTTTGGGAACGCCGAAGTTTCCTAATTTTCATGGAAGCCCCTCATATAAATAAAGAATTTTATGCTGATTTCAACGATACCAAAATCTTTATGATAGCATTATTCTATTGAAGACAAGCTTAAGAATTCTCATAAAGTGGGGTTATTTTTCACCCAAGTTTTCCAGGTCACCGGCTAATTTTCTTCTCAAAATAACTTAGCAAACATGAACCTTTTACTTCTGGTAATCTTTTTGTGTTCATCACCCGGTATTATTTGCATCTGATTCCGAGTACTGGGTCACAGTAAGCACCTACTGAGATTATGGCGTGCGCTTATGCTTTTTGGGCTTCCCGCGCAGCGCGAAATGCACTAGCGCGCTGTCAGTTTTACTCACTTATCTGAGGATTTCAAGCCACCCGTAAGTCCACGAAAAAGATTTTTTCGGTAATTCAAGAGAAGTATCTAATAAAGAGCATATCTTAAAATAAATGACATGGCAGGGCGTGCTCTATATGATTCACCTCTTTGAAAGATAAATTTTGTTTTTTTGATATTTAACAAAAAAAATTGCGAATTATTCTTTCATATTTCAAATATAACTTAAACAGTTAAAGAGTATATTTTAAAATTTCTACCCCTTCTTTCTGCTTATTGGCGGGGATGATGAAACCTCCCTTGAACATATTTGGCGACTGATGGACAATAACTGGGATGTGATTGGCTCTCTCTCATCCGTAAGTAGATAAAAAAAAAATTCGAGAAAAGCGTATTGATAAAACCAGGTGAAATCGAATATTTAGGGTATTGGTTCTTTGGCAGCTGTTTTTCTTGACAATTCAGTTTTCGTTGTTCCTGGCAATGATTTGTCTTTGGAACCAGCGTATCTCTGGAAAATCGATTTGGCTAAAGGCTTTTATAAGTAGGTTTCGAACAATCGGCGTTTTTTGAAACACGGCGTGCTCTCGGGCGCTCCCGACTCTTCGCTGCCGGGATCATGTTTGTTCAAATCACCTGGTTGTGGCAATTACGAGCCTTTTTTTTCTGGGAATTTCGTGAAATACTCATAATTCTTCAACTCGGAAAAATTGACCGGTTTTTTTAATTTCATGTTTTCTAAAAAAGGTCCCTAGACAAAATGAAGAGATCATCTGAATCGGACTAGATTTTCGACTGATACTGAGCCTCTGAAGTCCCAAAATGAGCGCTAGAAATTTTTGAGCGCCCGAAAACGGTTGAATACTCCATCCAGTGATTATGCCTATGGTCCCAGTTCGTAAAACAGGTTCTATTTAACCAGAATCAATTCACAGAAGTTGTGAACAGGGACTCTAGTGAGGACCAGTGCCTAAAGAAACCCGAAAAATGGGGGCAAAATTGAGGTGAAATCTTTGGTCTGAGTTCTGAGAGGCCAAACTTGGCGTTGATTTTGCCCTATTTTTTGGCCTCCTTCGACGCTGGTCCTCACTTAAGTCCCTGTTCACAATTTCTGTGAATTGATTCTGGTTGAATAGAACCTGCTCTACAAACAGGGACCATATGCATAATCACTGGATAGAGTATTCATCCCATTTCGGGCGCTCAAAAATTTCTTGGAGGTCATTGAGATTGCTGAACAACAAGTTGAAGCTACTCAACAAGCTGCTGAACAGCCAAAGACTCCAGAGCCAAAGATTTAATGAGTCCAGCCAAGCATTCTCAATTTTTTTTCCAAAAAAAAAAATTTCGGTCGATAATCTCTCGTTTTCAAAATTTTCGGGTTTTGTCAAAATACTCGTAATTCTCCCACTCGTAATTGCCACAGTCGACTGTAATAAGTATGACTGCGATAACTGGCAACCACAAGTTTGTTATAATCAATTATTAAATTTTAATGCCGAAAAATAGGACAGAGATTATATCGGAAATACCGGTAAATAGAATTGCCACAGTAATTGCCACAGTCCACTGTATTTGCATCTTATCTCGTAAAGTAGGTTTGAGAGTCACCCGCTGAGAAAAGATCGCTTCCCACCGCTCACGTTCTTGCCACTCATTCTTGCTGCTCTAGCGGGCGGAGGAGCCGTTTAAGCCCCGAGCGCGTGGAAATGTTGGCCCCACAAGGCACGCCTTGCTCCAAGAAAACGCCGATTTTCGAGACCTAGTTATATACCAAACTTATTGATAATAAAAGCCTCCCTCGTTCAATTTGAGCAAACTAAGGCGATAGCTTTGACTAAGATTCAGATTTATTAAGCTTTAAGAAAGATAACGACGAAAATATTATTGAGACTCAGATAATTGGCCAGGTCGAAAAAGAATGGACTTATTTGGACCCTCAACCGATTGTTTTTGTGACAACCGTTGATTATTGTTCCAAAAGTCTTTTATGAACATTTCAAAAAAAATAAGTAATGAACCTTACTTTTACTCAAATACATTTCGTTTTTTACTGTTTATGCTCGTCTTTATCCTTAAAAAGAATTTATCATTTTAATAGGAATTGAAATTTTGAAAGAACCATCATGAGTCTATCAGAATTTATGCTTCTTGATGTTGTATTTCTTTGCTTAGCTCGAGTAACTTTAGTCAAGAACGACATCAGCTCAGAAATAAATGTTTCAAAAATCTGCACTTCTTGGTAGTGGAAAAAGTTGAGTCGCTATTCTCGTAAATAAATCTGGGGTCTACTTGCTTGAGAGATTAAACCTTCTTAGACGGTCTCGCAACTTGATTACTTGATTTTAATGTTCTCCATGACATTGTGATGTAGATATCAAGAAAAATTTTTCTATTTATTTGTCTCGATTTTGTTCTACCTATAGTTTCAAGGTCAATAAGAAAAATTGTAAGCAAAAATTTTTTGATAGGACCACGTGATTTTATAAAAATCTCCTTAAAAACTCGTTATTTGCCCGTTTAATTATAGATCGACGTGTTTTAGAAATAAATTTTAATGTAAAGATCTTCTGTTGTATATTTCAGAACATATCACATTTGTCATGAATTGTTTGAATAAAGAAATCGGAACAAAAAGAATCTTTAGTAGGACAGCGAAAGTTTTCAGCTAGGTTTTTGCTGTGAATCATTGATATAAAAGCATTGATAAGAATTTCAAGTTCGCATGCGAAATCCGTGGATAAAAGTGTACTATTTTCTCGGAGACTTTTCGTAAAATTATGAAACTCAACTGTCTCGAGGATTCTGAACTCGATTCTTATTGTGTCGAAAGAAGCACCGCTAATCTTGCCGGAAACAGGTTGCATCGGAAAAACTCCTGCATAAGATTCATGGTTTCTGCATTTGTCCCTCCAGTACCAGTAGATGTCATCCTTTGTGGCCAGCTGCATCTCCGCAGCGCATTTCAATAGTGACGAATCGAAATCTTCATCCTCCGAACTCGCGGATTTTTGAAACTGTTCTCTCGCTTTGTCAAGAAGCATTTTTCTTGTGAACCTTTCAATGATTATTCAATTTCTTTCTTAATTTTCATATACTTACGCTCCAAATGAAGCTTTGTTAACCACAGAAATATCTAAAATGTCGATTGTGAAGAAATGTTCAATATTTTCTTTCCTTATCGTTAATTGGTCCTTTCTCCTCATTACATCGAGCTCGGAATATAAAAGAAGCTGTTTGAGGATTAATTGATTATCATTAAAATGAAAAATTGTTGATTAAAATGATGATTTTTAACACCCTCCCTGATTAAGTGAATCATATTTGTAATACGCCAATTCGCACATGTGTAAGCAAACTAAATTCAAGAATCATCATAAAAATAACTTTTACGATTTCTTACATGTAGTACCATTCAACAAGTTCTTCAATGTCAGTCTGTCTTCAGTGCCGTTGACAAAATAGTTTCCAAGATTCATCGTGGCAGTCGAGTTTAGAATCGCAATATTCGTCGAAATCGACGAGTCCATATCTTCAATTTCTCTCTGATCGTCCAAAAACTTTTCAGCAGCATCGACATTTCGCTGCAGAAGCCCAAAAACAATGCCCAAAATGCATGCAACAAGCGCGCTGATGAAAATGTTTCCGAAAGAAATAAATTTTCCAAAAAACAACAAAAAAATCAACATTTTCCTGAAAAGAAAGATCGCTAGAAAAATGTTTTTATAATCCCGAAACTTCATCTTTTTCAACAAAGAAAGTTGAGTTCTATCTTCTATCTTGTAGCGCAGCTTCAATGAACCTGTTTTATCAACCGTGAATTAATTAAAATCGATTCTGATAAAATACTTTCAGTTTTTTATGTTTTCGAGTCGAAAATATGCTTCGTAATATTTTCTGATTGTAGGGTGACGTCTCCAGATAAGATTCAAGAGCCGTTTGCCGTTTATCAATAAATATTTATCGCAGCGCTGGAGAGGTAGAATGATAAAGTTTTAAGTTGGCGAGGGGGAGTGCGCGTCTTCCGCATTTCGTAACTCCGAAACCGCTCACGTTTCCTTCTTTATATGGTGGTTTTATACTGAATATAATTGGAACACGGGAATCAATCTCGAATAAGTTTATTAACCCTGATAGGTGTGAGCAGAAAATAATAAAATATATATATTATATTTTATGTTATACCTGTGAAGTCAGGGAAAAGAATGATAAAATTATAGAGGTACAGTCGTTTTTATAGTGTAGGACACCACCCATCGGTGGCACGGACTTAGACTTGGTCGTATGAACTCGGCGTTGGCCATATCGCCAACGCTGGAATAGAGAGGGGCGAGCTGTCAAGGTATGATGGAGTGAAAGCCTTGGCGTTGGGCACGTCACGGCTCACTGAGCATAATTACGTCGACCACGCGCGCTAGAATCCCATATTTCGAAGCGAAAACAGTAGGAAAACCACTACATATTTTCCCCTTTTTATTTTTGAAGCGAAGCGTCCGTTGAGCGTAGAAATTTAGTGATTTTCGATGAAGTCGAAAACATTTTCTGGTAGAGAGTCGTGCTGGATGGAGTTTACGACTTGTAGAGATTCCGAATGTGAAGTTTCTGCATGATTGATTCGGTAAGTCGAGTATTTGTGAGCAAGATCATTTGTGAAAATTTTGATGTGAGTTCTCGCGTATTCGAGCTGGTCGGAAAACGATTTTGAATCGGCTTCTAGAAATTTGAAAGCGATCCTTGACGTGTAATATCGTTTTTCATAGATTGTTTGAAATTGTCTCATCAATTCGATGCGAGTGTTTTTATCGACCAAAAGCTGATAGAGAATTGCTGTCTCACTTATCCAGTTGAGCAAACTGTCATGATTTTCAAAAAGCAATTCCTGGAGGTGATTGATATCAAAGTGAAAGTGATCTTTAAGGGACTTAGCTTCGTTTTTCAATTCTTGCAAAAAGTCGAGCAGCGATTGCAAGTTTTCTTTTGAAATTGAGTTCGGTAAGAAGTGGATTGGAATGGTGACATCAAAGAGAGCAGGAATGATAAAGCGTTGAATGAGCCGCTTTGGAGGAGCGTCGTTGAGCACGAAGAAATCATTTTGAAGAGAGGTCATTTTCGATTTTTTTCTCTTTTAAAAATGAGTATTGGACCAACCAGTACTCCGTTCAGAACCATTTTTTTTAAGGCTAGAATGCGCCATCGAGTGTTTCTTCCGGACGTTGTGAGGTCATTCCGATGTCTTTTCTTGTGAACATTTGTGACCAGTGATAAGTAGTCAAAGTCGTGAATCGGGCCTATTGTGATGGGTATTTTTCTGTTTACTTCTTTCCCCTTTTTATTTTTGAGCGGATGATCTTCACGAGCAGGAGATCGTTAATGAGCGCCAATTATTGAGCATTTGATCATCACGAGCAGGTGATCGTTAATTTGTACCTGTTATCGGACCAGTAATCTAGTAGAACTTAACAGACTATATATAGAACTAAGAGCGAGTTCCAACAAGAAGAGAGTGTTACATTATGAGTGATATAAAGCTGTGAACAGAGCTGTGAGATTGTGAATAATTTGCTTGTGATTAGAATATTTAAGCAAATGTGAATAACAAATACTCTCTTGTGATAAACTTTGAAGCAAGTGAGCGATATTGCTTCCAATAAACTTTTAGGCATGTGATTAAAATAGTAGAGCAATAGAGCAAAATTGCTGCGAACAGAACGATAGGTTACTTGAGCAAGGTTAACTTCGTGAAAGTATTGTAATAGGGATTTATATGGCCTACGAGCAGGGCGTGAATTAGAATTGATAAAGAGTAATTACCCTATTCTTAAGAATATGTAAAGCTATTGAGCAAAGCTTTGAGCGGAACCTGTGAGTTAGATGCCTAATTATTCATAAATGGACTTTCTGTGTGTGATTTTGGCAACTGCACCCATTGCCAAACATCTGCAGAAGGCTGGACCAAAGTTCAGAAAAGAGGTACTTATCGTGTGGCCAATTAATAAGTACATTAGCTGGGTCATGAGAACAAAAATCCACAGAGGCCTGCATGTAAACTTCGTAATAACGGTCTGGTTGAGCATTACCAGTAAGCTGGATTCCCATTTGAGCTCTATCGGGGGAGTTAATATTCTAGTGAGCCAATTTCCAGTTGTGCATTGAACCGCCGAAGTTGTGAGGAACCAATTAAACCTTTGACATGCATGTCGTGAGAGCAGGTCTTTAGACTACAGAGTGAGCGAGCAATCCAAATATGAGTGAACGGTGGCTAGATAATGGGAACGCATATCTGAGCACCACCACGTCGTGAAAATGTGACGATTTGAGAGCGAGATAGTCGAGCAGCTATCTGTGAACAGGTCGAGTTATGAGCGAAACTTCTAGACCATTATAAGGATTAGTCGAGCAGCTAATCACAGGACAACACTATCGTCATGAGCGGAGACGATCTTTCCAATTGTTGTCGTGAGCTGAGTCATCTCTATCACTTGGCTCTTTATGATCTTTATGACTCGTTAACATCTTTTCATTCTTCTGAGCAGGAATGATCTTATCTCTATCAACAAGGAGCGATTGATCTTTATGAGAGCTAATTTTTGAATTTCTTTTCTTCTGAGCAGGAATGATCTCATCTCTATCAAAAAGGAGCGGTTGATCTTTATGAGAGCTAATTTTTGACTTTTCATTCTTCTGAGCAGGAATGATCTCATCTCTATCAACAAGGAGCAGTTGATCTTTATGAGAGCTAATTTTTGACTTTTCATTCTTCTGAGCAGGAATGATCTCATCTCTATCAACAAGGAGCGGTTGATCTTTATGAGAGCTAATTTTTGACTTTTCATTCTTCTGAGCAGGAATGATCTCATCTCTATCAACAAGGAGCGGTTGATCTTTATGAGAGTTAACTTTAGACTTGTTCTTAACTTCGTCTTTTAGGACTTTCCCTTGTGATTCGGCCACGTCATCTTCCTTGATAAATTCTGTTCTTAAGGCAGTCTTTCGTTTGAGCGGTCGAATCAGACTGATATGACGCCGATATTTTCTTCGTGAATGGATATTTAATTGCAATCAGTTTGTGCATAATCGACTTGATATATGAAGACTTTTTCTAAGGGTAATTGAGCGAATATTCTGTCCTTATGAGCGAGCGACGAAGTTCTTTGAGCGGTGTAATCAGACGCGTATATCACACGAGCAGGTGATTGTTCTGACTCTTTCCATGATTGACGAAAAACCTTCTGAGCAGTTGCACTGGCTAATGATTTCTAGCGTGAGCAATGTGCAAGTATCGTTTTCAATCGTCAACGTGCAATTATTGGAGAACAAGTTGATCACGAGAAAAGATAGCTTGTGATATTTGAGTTAAAAACTTCTCGTGAGTAGACAGGCATTGCGAGCAGTAGCCATAATTTGTATGTCCAGTTTCTATCTAAGAGCTTCTTAGAGCTGAGATAGCCTTCTTTCTGATCCACTTATAAATCAACTCTTATTAATTTGCCTATTTAAAGAGCTAAAGATCTTAGATTTGGAAAGGCATTTTTTTGGAGCATAGATCATCTTTCCGTTAATACGTAAGATAATAATTTCTACCAGAGTCTCAATTTTTCCGTTCTGATTACATCTGATGAGCAGGGATCGTTAACATTATTGGACATGTGAGGTTCTGAACGACGAGCAGGTTCAGCTTTACTTTGGTGATGAAGATTGAAGTGTGGCCTCAATGAGTGAGTCGAAATTTGCACACTTTTGTGGCACATTTGACGGTTCTTGATAAGAGGTGCAAGTAGAAGAGCGGGAACATCTGAGCGGATGCTTGTTCTACTGCAACCAAAATTGATGAGCAGCATATCGGAGTCCATTAAGCAAGATTGTTTTAAACCAAATTTGTATTGCGCTTGTGATAAAATGTCCGTCATTTTTCTTCATCATTTCTTGGTTAATTCTTCGTCTCATAATTTTTGATATCTTCTTTTTATATCATTAGATGCAATAAAGACGATTTTTCGAGCTTCGAGCAGAGCTGTGAATGTTTTGAGCTTTAAACTCTTGATTGATCATTAGCGCCTATTATATTCTGTTAATGAGAATAGATCATTCTGTAGCACGCTGAGAAATATTTCGAAGATTGAGCAATATTATTTCCCGTTTGACCAGTTCCATGGGCCGAGGTTCATTTGCATAGCAGAACCGTACACGAATTTCGGCACCTCTTTGGAATGAGTTTCTATGTGAATTCAAATCTAAAGTCTTCCCGGAATGATAATTAAAATCAAGGAACTTTGAATTTCTTCTTTCAGGATTTGGAACATGACGACCTTCATGATTTCTTCTGAGATAAGCGATCATTTGATTGGTTATTATCATGAAGAACACATTGATTTTAAGTTGTCGTTTTCAGGGATTTGATCATCAGTTTGATTTCCGGTTGAGGTGATTTTTTTTCGATTTTCGGATTTGAGAGCAATGAGATTCCGTTTTTCGAATTAAAAAAATATCAACTTTATTCCGGAAGTAAAACTTATTATCATACTAATCGAGA